CCCTTCCCCCAATTCCCCAATTAAAAAAAATAATAATTTAGTTACATTTTTTATTTCCAAGATAACTTTTTAGAAAGAGGTGGGAGATATCTGGGGTGCGAGGGTCCCAGTATATAGATTTTCAGCCAGTCTTCTTGTTGAACTCTGCTCCTGATCCCACCCTTAGTGTCCTGATCCCACTTGGTGTCTCTATGTGTTGAGCTGCTTCAGGGTAAATCATCTGGCTGTGCACTGGTATGTCCTATTGTGGTCACTTTAGATCGGTGCTCATCTCAGGTCACTTCTGCTTCCTAGGAGCTATTTGGCAATGTCTGGAGACTTTTTGGTTGTCGCAACTAGAGAAGAAGGTGATTCTAATATCTAGTAGGTAGAGGTCAGGGATGCTACTAAACATCCTATAATGCACAGGACAGCCCTCGCACAACAAAGAATTATCTGGCTCCAAATATTAGTAGTTCTTAGGTTCAAAAATTGCTTGAGATTGTATCTTTCTTCCACTTTGAGTCACTATTCAATCTATTCTGTCTTCCACAAGTTATTAAAATCATTCGTCCACTTTTGTTTTCTTTCTTGTTCTCTGTGTCCTTATGAGTGTATAACGCTCTTATTCCTTTACTGTCATTATAGCACTGTTTCCAAAAAGAAGGGAGATAAAAATGTTAGTGGTCAGTTTACAGTTTTAACTGGAAGACTTATATTTGTCACCAATATTTCTTGGTTTTGAATTTTATCTATAGATCATTATTCCATCTGGAATTGAGTTTAGTATGTAAAATAAAGTAGAAATCTAGATAATATTTTTTCTCAAATGAGTGACTGTCTCAACTCTGTTTTTAAAGAGTTTATTCTTTTCTCACTGCCTTGAAATGCTACCTTTTTAAATTTACTCTGTGTACATGTATTTGCTTGTCCATTTTGTGTAAAATCACACTTGTTTTAATTACATTAGCTTTCTAATTTATTTTGATATCTCATAAGGCAAATCTACATACATTCTTCCCCCACCCCCAATTTTTTCTGTTTTTTCTTAAATTTCTTTTTCCTAAATGAATTTTAGAATGAAATCTAAGCCACCCCCCCTCCTTTATATTAAAAAGGCTCTGTTAGGATTCTTATTGAAATTTCATTGAATTTACAGTTATTTCAGGAAATTTTAATACATTCTCAATATTGTGTTCCCATTGAGAAACATGGTGTGTTGTTACATTAAGTGAGGTTATGCTTTGGGCCCTTCAGGAAAATTTTACAGTTTCTTCATATGTCTCGCCCATTTTGTGTTTGGGTTACAATATTTTCTGCTCTGATTTTTCTTCAACTCAGTCCTATCTACTTACTGTTTTTTAAAAATTCCTCAAAATTTTTACTCTGTTAATTGTTTCCCTTCCTGTTTTCACTGTTATAGATATATTCTTTTTTTCCTTTCTTGCTTTTTTTTTTTGTTTGTTTGGTACCTTTTCTTTCATTTCAGTAATATTGAAAAGGAGAGATAAATGTGTATGCCCATTCTAACATATAGAACCTAAAGGGTATGCATGACTTTTAAAGTACTTTTAAATAAATCTAATTTATTTCCTAGTTTTCTTCCAGAAATGTTATTAAAATGTGCTTAAAGAAAACAAAACTGAGACATATCCCTATTTACTTTTAAAATTTGTAGTTTGAAAATGAAAACTGTGAATTAAAGTCTAAAATATTAATAATGAAAGAAACAATGGAGTCATTAGAGAACAAAGCAAAACTTCAAGCTCAAAAACTTAACCACGTGGCTGGCGATTCATCTCTTCAGAAAACAGAAATGAACACACTTAGGTAAGTTTATTGAAAGTTTTGTTATTTCACCTCTGGGAATGAGTTTGTGTTCATGGAAGGTCTGTTAAGGTTAGCATTTTTGGCTTGCCATGAAGCAGAATCACCTGCAGAGCTTTTGAAAAGTATGAATGTTGGGTCTGATCTCTAGAGGGTCTTATTCATCAAGTGAATCTGAGAATGTTTTGAGTATCTGCATTTTTAAAGATTTTCACAGATTGATATGATCACAGGCAAGTTTTTGTACCTTCCTCTTTCAAAAATCCCCCTAACAGATACTTCAGATCATTTATACTCCATAGTGCCAGATTGCTTAAAATTGCATAATTTTTTGCTACCAATATCATTGTCCTTCTCTTTCCTCTTTCAAAGAAATGTAAAATCAGAATATTCATATCCACAGTCTAAAAAGATGATATATCTGAAAAATGGTAAGAAGGTCAGTATGGAAAAATAGGCTATATCTACAAGTTGGAGTCAGGTTATGGAGAGCTTGGTATGATAACCAAGAGTGTCTGGATTTTACCTTATAAACATAGAGAGCAAACAGAAAATTTTAACCAAAGGGGTGACATGAGCGGCATGCCTTTTAAGAAGTGAACTTTGGCAGAAATAGGGAGAATGGATTTGGAGTCTAAAGAGACTGATGGCAAAAAATGGAGACCATAGTTCTGAGATTGTGGTAATGAACTTGGAGAACAGAGGCCAGATTTGCGAAACATTTCTTCCACAAAATCAAAAGGATTTGGATGACTTATATGGAAATGAGAAAAGGATACAGTAATGCAGACTGTTTACCTTAGGAGCTTGGGTTGTTGCTTAGCTCTTAGTCAATTTAGAATATGGAAGACTGAAGGAAAAAAACAAGTCAGCGAAGTTAGGTTTTTCCTGGATTGGGTAGCTGCAATAAGTAAAAGATACTGAAGGTCAGAAGAAGGGGATGGAATCACGCTGAAGAATCAGGAAATATTTCTCTAAATTGCATTTGCAGTAAGAATCAGGAAAAGATTTTCAGATGTCAACATGACATTGCATATGGTAAGTAAATCAGTCATGAAGTAGTAGTAACAACTCAAGACCAGAAAAGATTATAGTAATGAAGATTAGAAAAAAAGATTGATAAATTAAAACTGAAAGTGTTATTGAATAGAATATATATATCAGAAAATGGAGTTGGTGAAATAGAAAACAAACTCAAGAAATTCACTTAGAATTCAGAACTCGGATGTAAAGAAACGAGAGAAAAAAGACATGCAGATCTAATATACAAACACTGAGAATTGCAAAAATATGTAATAAAATAAACAGAATTGAGAATCAAAGGAATAATTAGGAAAAGAAAGGTCTCAAACTGTATTATTCATACAGGATCCCTGATTATCAAACAAACGTAATGAAATAAGACCAATAGCTAGATGTGTCTGTTTAACTAAGGAATATTATATTAGAGATTATATAGGGCATCTTTAATGTTTGCTCTTTTGCTGCTCTGAATACAAGTCTTCATAAGTTAGACTTTAGGAAGAACTAAAATTAGAAGCTGTTTTTCTTCCCCCTTCTTTTCTTTTTTGCAAGTGCTACATGCATCCTATGAAGGATTGCTGACTGACTGAACCAGCCTCTCTCCTGGTGCATGTCTATATTTGGCTCCAAAATACAGGTACCATGGTGGATTTCTGTCATGCAGAATTACCAATCCACCCTTGTCCCTTTTGTGTCTAGCAGCTGACCGGATCTGGCATTTAATCCATTTTGGATTTCCTTTCAGACTGTAGCCACAACTCTGCTTTCCTCTCCTTGTAGTAGGAGGTCCATTACAGTCTTAGGTCCTTAAGATAGAGCTTTCAGTGCCTTCTCAGATGCCCTAGCCTACAGCTCTTGTGGTGTTTTCTTTGTTATACTAGTACCGTTTTCTCTTCTGAGCACATTCTGCTACTTCCCTCATGTAAGGATAATTCAATCACGGTGTTATAGGAAGAGATTGTGAGGAGTTTCTACTTTATATAGTCTGGGGAAATTGCATGATTTCATAACTGTTTTGCTCTGACCGAAAAATCTGACTTATCTTGCCTCTGAGGAAAGTGTACCAATCACGTTCTCCATCTCAGTGCACATTGGTAGAACCATGAGTTCAAGCCCAAATCCAAAGCTAAACTCAATACAAACCATAATACCAAGCAAAACCACATTATTTAAACCTTGTGCCATTTCCAATATGGTTACTAGAGATCTTTCTGTCCCTTTAACCACATTAAGTTCTTTTTCCCTTGACATGAAGACATTTAAGAAGCTGATACTCAGATAGATGAATCATATGACCCATCTACCAGATGGACACATCTTCTCTTTCCCTTCCTGAGTCAGGCATTTTTCACCAAATTTCAGTGCCACCAAACAGTTTCTTTCCTTTTCAGGACAGACTGTTTTGTTCTGTTTCTTTTTACCAAACAGACTATATCAAACATACTCTCTAGTTGTCCAAATAAAGGATCTTTGGTCTGGTCTCTTGGTGCAGTACCAGAGGACATAATACAAAATCCCACTTTATAACCACCCATTAAACAAATGACTTATCTCCCTTGAATTTTAGCATTTAATAAGCCTTGGCATCTTATGCCCCAAATTAAAACTTTATAGCAAAATGCTATAAAGCAACTTCGCTCTATCCAAGAAAGATTGCCTTGGCCCCTGAAAGTATGTGAGCCACCCTCTAGAGCCAGAATCAGTCAACTTTTTCTATAAATGGACAGAGACTGAGTATTTTAGGCTGTGTGGCCCGGTCTCTATCTCACCTACTCAGCCCTGCCTTTTAGCGCAAAATTAGCTATAGACAGTACATCAATGCAGAAATATGGTTGTGGTCCAACACAATTTTATGGACACTGAAATTTGAACTTCATATAATTTTCATGTCACAAAATACTAATCTTCTATTGAAATTGTTTTCAATCATTTAAACGTGTAAGAACTATTCTTGGCTCTTAGGTTTTACGAAAACAGGTAGTAGGCTGTAGTTTGCCAACCCCTGCTTGAGAATAAACCGTTTCCAGCCCAGTTAGACAACTGATTTTCTCAACCCATAGTAAACAGCCTTCATCATCACAACTGCTAGGTATGAGGCGCTAAACAGATTCCTACAGCTGAAAATACCCTCAGACTATGTTCAATTCTCCTTAATCTTTAGTTATCTGTGGACCTTCTTCAAAACTGGTGAGTTATATATATCCTTATCCAGGGTTAGATAAATGCGTTAGCAGATTTTCCTTGAAAGGGTCCGTAGAGTTAATATTATGGCAGTAGGGATCAATTGTTACAGTAGGGTTTAGGTACATTCATAAAACTAAATATTGGGCTGTCGGAAAAGTCATGACTCATATTTGCAACGAAAAACATAGAAAAATATGTCATGACCTTTCCGACAACCTAATATAATTTCTCCCTTAGGATGCCTAAGACCTGCCTTCTGGGCATGCCTAGCATTTTTTCTACTAGGACCGGAAGAGGAGCCAGGGCCCTAAGTGAGGATAGATGAGCTCATGAAGTTGGACTTAAAAGGGCCAAGGGAAGTAGATAAAAATCATGTCTTTGCAGAAAGGTAAAAGAAAAGCCAGACCTGATCCTTTTTCTCCTCTCTGGCTCACCAAGAGATGATACTTAGTAGTAGCCTTTCTCAGTTAGTGGTGGGCCATAACTATAGACTCTTGGAGGCATCTAAAGTAAAATAGGGATACCGTATCAGTCTCTCTTTCCTCTATGAGGCAATTAAAATTCAAAACCTACCCCTCCTAGATGGAGCTGCAGCTCCATTTTAGAACTTGAACACTTTTTATGAATAAAGGACCCTTTAAGATGCTGTCTTTGTTTAAAGTACACTCCATTGTGAAGAGAAGTGATTACTTTTACCTCCTAAAATGAAGGCATGCATACCTCCATGTAATATAGCTGAGAAATTTGAGGCTCAGAGAGATGGTCCTGTCCAGCCACATGGGTAGTAGAGAGCTAGAACTTTGATTCTAAGTGAAGTTTCATTGCTTTACTCTCTGGTAGGAAATCATCACTTCCCTTTGCTATGTTCATAGCTAAGAAATTGGTTCATTTTTCCTAAGAACTTAGTTATCAGAAGGTTCTCAAAATTTCCTTTCCAAACACCATGATAAGCAAATGATATGATAGTCACTCAACTGTTCTTCCCTATGAACTTTATACCTCAGCTCTGTCATTAATGAGACCTTTACTTAGCAGCAGTACTCCTGTCAGAAAAGCTATATCCAAGGTCTGGTATAGAATCTCTGTTGTCCCCTTCCCTGTCTACACTAGAATATGATAAGGCATAGTTATTTTTAGGACTCACCAAACTCCTCCTCTCTATATATAATCAATCAAGATATTATTCTGCCTTCTTTTATCAACTCTACTTTTATTAGGAATTAACCCTGCTTA